GCAATGACAGCGATCTGGTCCGAGTCCTTCAACTGTCTATGACTTCATTACGTACGAATTAAGATTGGATCCTGGTGATCGTTTTAATTACTGAATGCAGCAAGACACGTACTTCAAGGCCGTCGGTACGCCGAAAAATTTCCTATTATTTTCCGCGCTACTGACAGACGGTAGCTAAGATTTTTGAGTTCCTCGTTTGCTTCTGACCTGATGGTTTCAAAATTCCCCAGCCGGATTCGTGCCGTGGATGAGCTTCGTCTCCAGCAAACAAACGACGTAGATCTTCGGTGCTATTTTAGCCTTTTCTGGGAGGAGGCAAAGTATGGTCCACTGATCCTGCATGCCCTTATATATTTACAGAAGAATCCAGATTATTCGACGTAAACGAGATAGAAGGACGGTAGGATAAAGGAATATATCATTCCTACTTTATCGTTTAAGATATTACTGTACGGCACGAAATGTCATATAACCGAAGGCAGGACTCTACTGCGATAAGGTTAGGTTTAACACCAATTTATTTGTGTTGTCTTCAGCACACAAGAATGAATATAGTTGGAGGAAAATGGACAGAAGATGGTTCGTCAGGGCACAAGCAAGAGGGATCGGGTGGCCGGCCAACTTCTTGTAGAGCGTGGGTGAAGTTTCACACCAACAGAAAACATCTTCCGACATCGACTGGTAAGCAACGGATGAACTACGAAAAATTTGGTGTTATTCATTCAGTTCATTGTTGGTGCTGTACGAGGTGCGATCTGAAAGTTTCCAGACTGTGTCAATAGAGGGCGAACCGGATGTAGTACGAGCTTCTGCCGCTAGGGGGTGCGGCCTACATTCATAGTGAATCAGTGTGCCAGCCGGCATCATCGAATTAGCATTTGTTTCTTAGTTACGGGCGTTTTGGTAGTGCATTACACCGACCCTCCTGCGATTTCGGAATGGCGGATTTTCATGAACAAAGAGTGTGCATCAAATTTTGCCAAAGACTCGCCAAAACCGCTACGGAAACCTATGAAATGCTAAAGCAAACATTTGGGGAGTCCGCAAACTTTTGTGTGGCATTCACGTTTTAAAAATGGCCGAACCCCTGTCGATGATGACGAGCGTTCTGGACGACCATCTTCGAGCACAACGCCCGAAAAAGTTACGAAGAT